CAGCTTCCTTACTTCCCAAGGCAAATGTGCCAGAGAGGGGAAAGCAAGAAGGCCACCATGAACCTTTCACATTTTATGTTTCCAAGTGCATGGTTGCATGTTGAATAAGGGTGTGTTGTCCTTAGTATGTGTATTATTAGATGGAGATATAACTGTAACTGAAAACATCCATCAGTGAAATTATAAAATTAGAAAGAAAATACAAGAACATTCTGTGCATTCTCTAGTCATTGAGAGTGTGAAAAACAACATGGTTGAACATATATATTGAATGAAAAAATCAAAACCAACTGCTTATATTCACGATATGCCGAGAAGGAAAAATAACTGGGAAAAGAGGGTTAAAAACCAGACCGGAGTAAACTTCAATGAACCTGTGAAGATAAGAAACAAAAAAAGCAATCTTCTGCTTTGCCAAGAGATAAAGGTTTATAACTAGCATGCCGTTCTCGTGATGACATATGGCCCAGCATCATGGCCTGTCTTTCACTGAAATAAAACAAAAACACATGCCCATGTTGAGAATTATGGGGAATGCAATGACTGGAATTATTTGGACTGAGCAAACAACTAGATAACAGGCATACCTGGGAAAATCAGAAGAAACAAATGTCAACGTGCAGAACATATTGCCTTAAAAAGTGCCATAATGAGATGATCTCAGTATGGGCACCTAAAATAGAAAATAAATCAGGAGTATCTGAACAAGCACTACAATGAGATAAAGAAATGGGGTTTGCGAATTGAACCTGGAAAAGAGGAAGAGTAGTCATGACAGAGCGAGACATTCATCTAAAGGAAGTCTGAAACTTTTCCTTGCTGTTATGGCACACACTGTGGAAAGCCTATTTTCCTCCTCTGTAGTTAGATACCTGCAGTTATCATTTGCATCCGTGTGTTTGAAATATATTTTATAAGGTACAAAGGTATCATCTGTGCCAAATATTTTATATATGCAGATGTGTCAAATTTTAGAGTTACATTTACATAGTTCCAAACTCTTCTAGCTGCCTATCTAGAGATATTATGGATACAGTGGGGCAAATATATCTGATCACTGTTAAAAGCAGTGACACTTCAAAATTGGTGTGAGTTTGCACCAATTTAATAGATATGTAATCGAGTTCTACTGGTTTTCTTCTTCTCATGAAAGATTAATAGTGCAGATATTTTTATGACTAAATAATCTAGTATTGTCCTAGTGGTTGTTCACCTTTTTATAGTCCTACTCAGTCATCTACTTTCAGAGAATTTACATTTCAGATAAATCCTCATGATAAATATAATGAATAACTCTCAGAAAAAAATAAGCTTTCACCATGGAATAAAAATTTAAGCACAATCATTTCACACAATGCTTGCTGTCCTAAAATAAACAAATACTTAAGCTGTTACTGCATATGTTGTTTAAGATAAGGAAATTGAGGCAAGAAGTTGAGGCACTTTTCAAAGGCTGCATAGCACATTACTGGCTGAGCAGGGATGGGATCTTTCTTGACCTATTTGCATGTACCTGAGTATCTGGAAAACAATGTATAATTGTCATCTTGAAACAACTTTCAGGTTTTTTTGTTTTGTGGAACTGTTTATTAATTCTTTGATTAGAATTGACATCTGATTAAATATTTTATTCTGCCTTTGTAGTCTCTTCATATACGAAGCATGACTTTCTGCCCTGCTAAGTGAGAATTTACCGGGCTAGATGTTGATTCAGTAGGTTGCAAGTGGAGTGCTTGCCCCCTGAGGGTCATATTAAAGCTCAAGGGGAGTTTTTTGAGCAACATTGCATCTTAAAGATGATATATCAAGCTGATAGATACATAGCTCTTCTGTTGCGAAATTCACAGTAGAATTATTGCTTGTTGCCAGTTATTACTTGGGTAGTAAGGAGTCTCTTGGGAATATGGATTGGATAAAAAGGGTTAAGCTGAGGGAAATGTTACACTGAAGACCTTGGTGATGAGGAGTGTTCCAAATAGTCAGAGGATGTTTTGTGTGCAAATTAGAATTACCATTTTGGGGGGTAAGTGCTCTGTAGTTTTAATGAGCAAATCGTGATTAGTTTAATAGAGTGCCTCTCTCATTATGACTCAGCAGAGACTTGACAATTTATTTGCTATACCTTCCTGCCCCCCTACCCCATTCCTTTGGAAGCATTGAGCTGAGAATACTTGCTGGTGCATAGCTGAGGACATTACCTGTGGGCTACAGGAAGTCTTTCAAATAAATAAATTTGCTGTATGTTTGAACGTGTTGGTTTGGAAGTAGTGGGCTTGGCTTGTTCTACAGGTCAGTCGACTTTCACAGTAGAGATTTGTCCAAATTTTCTACTCTTCCCTATGCTGTGCTTTTGTTGGTAGAAGAGATTTGAACATTTAGCAGAGATTACCTACGCCATTAAAATAACATCGACACAGTGGAATTGTTATTGACATTTAGACAGCTACATCTTTGTTTTTTGATGAACATTCCTGTATCGCTGTAATAGCCACCTCTCTACATACATAAAGATTAATCAGAGCTTTTACTTTGTAGATCTCAGAGAGCTTTACAAAGGAGGATAAGTATTATTATCTCAGTTTAACAGATTGGTAAATGAAAGACAAAGGTGAAGTGATGTGTCCTGACAGAACTGGAAATAAATTTAACACTTCTACCTCCTCAGTGAGTTGCTCACACTGCCTCCTCAGTATCAATGTGAACTTTGGCTTCCTGGCCAAATTACAGGTCAGCTAATTAGATTCATTTTTAGATGTAGCTTTTTTTCCTGTGTAGAATTTCTGGTGCATTTTAAGCTGCAGACAGTTTAGTTTTAAATGAGGTAGTACCCTGCTTTGAAGGGATATTGAGTTTTCCCATTGGTGTCAGCTTATAAAAATACTTAAAAATCCTCTACTACAAGTTTTTACATTAATTGTGTCATCTTTATCATGCTGGCTCCATTTGCCTTCTAACAACTTCAGGAATCACTTTATAAAGGATGCCAAAATAATTCATGATTATCTGTGAGTATTGTACTTTACATCCATAAGATTTAAAACCTCTTATTGTACAACTTAAATCCAACGTCACTTATGTTGCTGCTAAACAGAACAATGTTAAGTGAGGTAAATCTATTTTCTCCATTTTACTGTGAGAGTGAACTTCACATACAGACACATTTGGTGTGCAGATGTTTGTTTTTGATGGCTCAGCTGGAGGAATATTGGGGGCTGTTTAAGTTAAATCAGCCATCTTCTTCCCTCCGAGTTGAGGTGCTCACAAGCTTTTGATTGGCCTTGAAGGTATTGGCAATGGATTTGCAGACCATGAATTACCTTAGTCTCAGAGATCCTCTGGATTTGGAAACAGGAGGATTTTCAGGTTTACTTGGGATTTACTGGAGCCTTATTGCCTAGGTCTAGTAACAGCAGCAGGAGGGAACATTCAAAGGCAGCCAGGCTGGCTCAAGTCCCCAGATTATATGTTTTCTTTTTCACAGTGACAGAGAGGAGCATAAGGGAGTGATGGAAGCTGGAGATTCTGTTCCACTTCATCGTGTCCTGAAAAAACACAGGAGGGCTGCAGGGCTAGGGGCAAATTCTCAGAAGTAAAATACCTTGTCATAACACCAGTATTCCAGTCTTTAGTAAAAATTTTGTATGAGAACTAGCAGACCTTGAACTTAAAGTAAAGGGAATAAATATCTAGATTGGAGCAGGGTATGTCTTGTGCATTTCTGCACAATACAATGTAGAACTGGAACTGAAAAATTTTACTTAGGTATAACTATGTATAATCAGAGTAAAAATGTCAGATCCTAGTTCACATATCTCTGTATGTATATATCAGTATAAATAAAAAATTATTATAAAAGACTGATGACTCTTTGGAGTCAATGCATCCTTTCACCTGTTTCAGGGAGAGAATGATTCAGACCATGCATCACAAAGTCTCTTTCTTTCCTCCTAGTAACCAACTCATATACAAGTGGAAAATGAAAATCATAAAACTTATTGTAAGTTTACTGTTGCTCATCTTAAAACTTCCAGCTTACGCCCTGAGGCTTACAACTACACTTAAAGTTACAAATCTGTGAGACTGTTTTTTTCCAATAGAGAGAAGAAGAAAATAACGGCAACTAAAAACATTTCTGTTGGAAAGACCAAAGGAGAAAAGCAAATAGTAACTACTGGACCATGAAAAGCAAAACTATTATACAAGAGTTTAAATTACAAAGACAGTAACTTTCCAGTACTTTAACTCTCTGGAAAAAAGCTACAGAGCTATGGCTACAGCTTTACATTATATATAAAGTTCCAGATGTGTTTATATGCAGAAAGTTCCTTCAACAGATTGATTTCTTCTAAAGAAAAGAAAAAGCCATAAACTCACAGGTGCAAATTGACATAGTTCTTTTTACTGCATGCAGTTAAAGGTCATTGGTGGTATCATTACTGACATGTTTTGATCTGCAGTTCCTTGGACTTCATAAAAATTAATTTCCTTAACAAAACAGTGGACTAGAGTCTGATATTTCAGTGAATCTATTTTGATTTCTACCCAAAGATATTCTTCGCTTAAAATTTCTTCTGTTTTCTTTTAAATTATTATTCATTCATAATGGTAAGAAGGTATCTGAATGATAAAAATTCTGATCAGTTTTACTCTTGCTCGGTAGCATTTCTGTGGGCATTTTCTTAGCTTCTCAGGGTGGCAGAGCTGGGCACAAGGAGAAGTAGATAATATTTGAACAGGTGGTAGAAAATATGTTGCTTCTGAATTACTTTTGGTGTTTGGAGGTTTGCTTTTAGCAAAATGATATTCACATAACTGTGTTGGAAAGAAGAAAATTAAGAAATACCATTGTTCAGTAGTGAAAATGTTAAACTAAATGGACCATGTCAACATTACTTTTGATCCTGAGGAACAGTTTTTCCAGTATATGGAGCATTTTGTTTCCACGCGGCATATGTTCTCCATGGTTTTCTCTGCTCTAATTCATCCATGTTTTTCAACAGCTCCAGATGGCGTGATGCCTCCAAGGCTTTCATCTGCCGCTCCGACCAGTCTTCAGGTTGTCTGGTCTACACCAGTTCGCAACAACGCCCCAGGCACACCCAGCTACCAACTCCAGATGCGGCGGAGGAATTCTGCTGGTGACATTTTAGAGTACGCAGACCATAGCAAGACCACCGTCAAGTGCTCAGCAAGAGAAGTCCTGTTATCTTAAATGTGGCTCACCTTTAGGGTGGCTGGTTTTGTTACAAGATGTAATGTTTTAGTCTTTCTTTAAGTGCTGAGATGCTTTATGATGTAACTCGCGCTGTTTTTCTTTGCAGTTTGCTTCCCAGCCCTACTGCTTCTTTACAACACAGGGTTGAAGACCTTCAGCCATACACTGAGTATGAGATGAGAGTGGTTGCCTCCAATGGTTATGGCAATGCTTATAGCAACTGGACTTCAATGACTACAGCAGAGGACAGTAAGGATCTTATTTAACTCCCTTTAGCAGAAAATATAAATAATGGTTCAGCTGCCATTGTACATAATTTCTTTAAGTTATCTAGCTTTTTTGGTTAAATAGCAATCCTATATTTCCTTCTGTAATACTAACTTGCAGGAATGACTCCTAAGAGATCAAGTATCTCTTGTCTTACATTTTCATTAAAAAATATGAATATTTACATGTATGTTTTGTGAAGCAGTATCTTATTTCTGTGTATAGTATCCCTCTGTCCGTATATAGTTCATATAAGGTTAGTTTAAGATACACTGGTAAGTACAGCTTTGTAAATGGCATTCCTTTATATTCAGGGACTTGATTCTGATTTCAGTCATATCAGAGAAAATAAGTTGAAGTTAATAGTATATGACGGTTGCCTTATCTCTGTGTTGAGAATACTTAAGCTGTACCACAGCTGAACAGAACTTTTCATTCCCAGTGATCTTTGTTAATTCAAAGTAGTGATCTACTGGACAAACTGGGTTTGTCATTGTTAATCCCATCACTTTCCTTGTTAATAGTTCTGTATACTGCAGACTCACTCCACATAATTTGTTCAACAGTCCCTTGACTTAACAAACAGGTATCATTATATAGGTACAACCAGTTAGTTGACCAGGTAGGATTTTGTACCTGATTCAATATGTAAGCAGAAACATATGACGGATTTTGAGCTTGTTGTTCATAATACATATAGAAAACTCATAATTTCCAGATTTTTTAAAGAAGCTGAGCCATTAATTTTCTCCTACAAGGTAGCAGGATATCTAATAGCACATTTTTTGGAAAAATCTATTGTTTTCGAATATATTAGTAGCCTTCTTTTTTTTTTTTCCAATCAGTAATGGATGACACCATTTTCCCAATTTTTAGAGAAATTAAGTATTTTCTAAAGAGATTTTTCCTGTTATATCTTGTTAAATAAGAAATTAAGTAATTCTGAACAGGAAAAGGCAGGGAGGGTGGGGAGTCTTTCATTGCCTTCTCAGCCTTCACACCCCACCTTGTGGACTTAACGCTACTTAATACTGATATGAGATTTGCATTTCAGACTGTAAATTCAACCTAATGCTTATATGCAATTGTTGTAGCAAATATTCAATGCTGGTGACTCCATTTTAGTCCCTTCTCTAAATAGATAGCTGTCTATCTTGAGAAAACACTATGAAGAAAATATGTGTGTTCCCACAGTTGTAAAACATTTTTTCTTTGAAGCTGAACAAATGATTCACAATGGAAATTTATCTGATAAATTAATTTAAGCTCCAAAGGTATAAATACTTCTATAAGCATGCTACCTGTAACTAATTACCTAATAAATGTAAGTTCTGAACTTGGTCTTTAGACACTGGAGCTGTCTTATCTAACTGTAGATCAGAAATCTTTTCTGAGATTTAGTTATTTCATTGTAATTGTTTGTTAACAAAAGTGGATAGAATATTATTGAACTTACTTGTCTACATTCATAGTCTAAATGCAACCAGTCTCCTATGACTATTTTGATCAAATTGCCATGATTGTTTAGCTCTGGTCTGACGGTTCATAGTGTTGTTTCTTCTCAGATAGAAGGAGCACGGAAGTACATTTATAAGGCATCACTTGTTAGTAATATAAAAATTATTTTTGTGCAAAGTAGTAAGTTTAGAATTTTAAAATTCTCTTTTGAGGAGTTTGAGATAGGGCAGAAAACCTACACCGGAGATGCATTCCTATATAGTCTTTTTGAACATGTAGGTCACCTGCTGTATAGAACTTGGATGCTCTTTGTGCACCACCATGAAGTGCTACCTTTGCAAAACCTGGCTGCAAATATATCTTAAGTTAGTATGGGAGGTTGCCAAAGGAAACTTAAGAACAAGAAAATGAAAATATAATGATTTTGCCAGTGTTTATGCAATTGAAATATTTTGAGACTGACAAACAACTCACCTCTTCTGCTATGATGCTTCATCTTTGTTTCTTAGCTTAAAACAAAGGTCTGTAGTTCAGTTATAAACTCCATGTCTCCAAGGGGAAAATTATTTTCCTTAAATTGTCCACTTCCATTTGCATCAATATTGCTATAGAATATATACTGATGTATCCCCAGTATCCAACAACCCTTGTAATTTAAAAAAACCAGAACCACCCAACTTTCAGTGGTGACAGAGGTCTCTGTTTTTTGGTGTCATTGTGGAGGGCTGCCATCTGTAAAAGGATATTCAGCTCAATTGCTTAAATTGAATGATTGTCATTGGGTCTAAGCAGTATTTTGTCAAGGTTTCAACATGTTTCTTGTAAAACTGCCTATACTGACAGTTTGTTGCAGAAGTACACAATAGCTGGCCCTACTCACCAGTAGGCTTTAACTGTTTGAAGTACAATTTAACGGTAGAAATTTCCCATATTTCTTACTCTGTTGAAATATATGTGTGTACACACGTTCTTACTGAATTTTATTCAGTGAATATATGCCTTTTTTTGTTTCACCAAAGCATAAAGTATCTATAGGAATAAAATATAAGCATGTGTGTGTGTCTATGTGCACATACACTTGACAGCAATAGATGTAAATCAACACACCCACTTTTAAAGTCAATAGAATTGTAATAATACAAGATGATTTCATAATGTATCTGTGTATTATATTTTATTTATCATAAATACCTAGTAAAATAGGAGGATATTAGGAATGATAAAAGAAAAATTAGCAAATGCTGCCATAAAAATCTCTTGTTTCTGACAATGAAATGCCTTAATATTCAGATTAATAGATTTGGGGTATTTTTTAATGCAAGAAAAAATGTAAATGATTTTAAAATACTTCCATTTACATGATAGTGACATTAGTAACTGATTCCATGCATTTTTTAAAGTCTAAACCTGCTCATGGCAGATAACAATAATATACATACCTCTGAATATTTTAAAACCTGCTAAACAGGCATTAATAAAAGATGTTTGTTCCAGTGATCTTGGTCAGTATAGCATCAGACTATTTACTGAGAGAGTATCTACAAATAGAAACAGTTGATGAAGTTTCTGGATTAGAGCTTGCTTTCAGTAACTTGAATGTAAATTTAAGATAGCTCTCTTGCGATCAGTGTGATGACCACTGAACTGAGAGGTCAGTATGTACTGTTGAACTGAGAGCAGAATTTCTTCCATTGCATTCAGAAATAAAATGAAATCTTCTAGATATAAAAAAGAAGATACCAGTTAGGTTTTCCCTTTAGATATGGCAAGTCTTTGAACTATCTCAGAGGGGGAGTTGCAAAGATGTTGGTTATAGTTACCTAAAGCTGGCCCAATGGCAGTGCCTGTGTTCTTACAGTGTAGATTTAAGACTCACAAAATTATCTTGGCTGGGAGCAATCCACATGATGTGATTTTTGATCAGAGGGATAGCTCCCAAATGAGAGAGGTGTTTTTTATAGTGATTGAGAAAATCTGTCTTGGTTTGGACAAGTTTTGAGCTAGCAAAATCTCTACTTTCAAGAAAAGTTGCCTGTTACTTTGTTTGCTTTTGAATGTCCCCAAACCTGTCTGCAGCCCAATGAGTTCCATAGAGCAGGACATCTCAGTCACCAGCATGTTCTCTGTATTTGCTACGTTTCAGTTCCCTGAGTCAGTGTACAACTTCAATATGGAGAGCTCTTAAAAAAGTCCTTTTAAATGCACCTGGCTTGCACTAGCTGAAAGTAAAGATTTTGCGAGTTGCCTAGCAGGCAGTCTAATTTTTTACTTTTTATTTCTTACATAAGTGAGTGCAAGTCCATCTCTTTTATACGTAAAGAAGTTATAGACCAGCCCAGTGTTTATTTACAGTAAGTAATGTCAAAAGTACACAGTAGTCACTGGAAATCGTTGCATTTTGAAGTTGCTAGAGAAAAAAAGAACAATTGAGAAAAACCAAAAAAAAAAGTAATAGCTCCTGCAATGTATCAGCTGAATGTATCAGCTGAGCTATTTCTTGTCAAATCTGGGAAGCATTATTCCTGTCATATAGAGTGCTATGGTGTACTCCTCTGGCATGCTTACCACAAAGCTTTGGTTCCAAGATGAAGAGCACTACTCTCTTAAAGGTTCCTGAGGTAGAAAATAGAGATAGCCAATGCAGAACAAGAGGATAAGTGGTGCAGTTCACAACCTTTGGAAGCATTTGCTTTTTCTGGTGATTATATTTGCTGTCTGAGAAGACAAGTCTCCTATTTTAGCTATATAAGTTAGGACCAAAAAATTTAGGTATATAAACTAATCCACAAATAGTTGATCTGAATGTGATCACTTCTGCTCAAGAAAAATAAATGGAAACGGAAGCAAGAGAAGACAAAACCCGATGAGGTGATAAAGGGAAGAGAAATTCATGTGAAATACGTGACAGGGTGAATAGCGAAAGGACAGAACAAATTAAGCTGATTGAGTAGTGTGGCACATATGATAAGATGATCCTATAATAAATATTACTAACTACCCATACATGCCTACAAGTTAGGAATTAGAAGTTTCTTAACGGGTAGAACTGAAGTTGTGGAGCCAATGGAATATTTGGAGCAGTAGAGGGCAAAAAGTCTGAATACTCTGAAGACAGCTCTTAGTACGTATCTGAAGGGGTTCATATGGACTGCGTGTCATTGCATGAACAGCTTAATGACTTTTGAGTTCTGTGATCTGATGTGATAAAAGATTTCTGTGGTCCCTTGTGCCGAGAGCTACACAATTTGGATTTTCGGTAGTATATAAAAGACACCACAGTTTGTTAGTATGTATAATTTCATTGTCCATGTTCCTGAAAAGAGTAAATGATTCAAGAGTAAAAGGCGCAGAATTTTGATTCTGCTTAGTGAGAGAGTTTGCCAGCAAATCGGGTATTTCTCATTAGCTGTAAAGGGCAGTAGTCCAGGTACACATCTTAGTATATGTCTTATTAAATGTAAGTGTATATTCCCCCGAAATACATCCATGAGAGTGTAGCTCCTTGCTTCCCAAAACTCACAGCAAGTAAACAAATGTGTGGTTCTAATCATGGAATTAAAAAATATTAATGATGGGTTTGTGCCTTCATTTTAAGTTGAGTCTGAACTTTTGAAGCAGATGACCCAAATAGCCTGCCATAAAAGATAATTTCATTTGCCAAAATGAAACTACCTTCTAGTATTAATACTGTAATGAAATGGTTTGAAATATGAACTAAGACACTTAAGGAAAAAGATGCCCACTGTTCCCATGTTTAGTAGTTAGTTTTATAAACAATTATGTCCATGTAAAAAGCTTTATGATTTTATTTTCATCATTGACAGGCTGAGCTGTGTAGCTGTCATACTTTGCAGTCTTCCCTCCAGTGACAACCACATTGACAACATGTTATACTCCACATTGATTTTACAGTTAAGGAGCTGATTGTGATATATAGGGATTTTAAGAATTCAGCTGAGAGGCTGACTTTTGCCTTTTATCATTCCATTAAAATTTTATAACCATCTTTTTCATGTCATTTCATCCATGAATTCTTACTTTAAAAAGTGATAGCTACTGCTGTGAGCATAACTTTTTTCATGTTCAGAGCTTTTTATTGTATTAGCAAACTATCCCAATTATAGTTAATACTCATGTTTTACATAATTGTGGTGACCCTTTCAACCAAGGAGTATCGTACTAGTTGATTTGTATATAGAATTAGATGATTCTTCTTGCCATTTAAAAAGAAGCTGCACCAAATGAGTGTTGGGGACCAGGATTTAATGCTTTCCCATCCAGTGGGGCCAATTAAGCATCTCTCAAACGTCTTGTTTGAACTCAGAAAGTCTTAAAAGTCTCTCTTTTAAAAGGGCAGTAGGGAATGTGTGGGTAGGTATGCTAGCTACCAAAATACGCTTTCTGGAGGGGAGGAGGAGGGACTAGGGGGACCCAAAGTTTAGGTTTGACAGCTCCTCCCATACATTACAAATTGTCCTTAAGGAATCAGTCTGAACTCTGTTGGAATTGAAGCTCAGGTTCAACTAATTACCATGAATGTTTCACCTGTAATGCCTGCAACTTATTCAGCAGGAGTAAAAAGGCTTACCCACTCCCTTACAGCAAACTGCTTGAATATTGGGGGGCTTTCTTTGATCAGTTTTCTTTTTTTTTTTTTTCTGCTCCTGCAGAAGCTCACAGTTTAATAGCTTATTTATGAGGTGTAATTAGATAAAATGCAAGTTTGTGGTTCAGTGGTATTATATTTCAGCTTCTCTCCCCATTAAAGTAGAATTTACAGCAATGTATTTTCAAGGTCTTCAGTTCCAAAAAATATTCTTCTCTTTCCTGTCCACCCCTCCAAAAATTTTTGGTTTACAGAATATATATATAATTCAGATTTACATCTCCACCTCTTCATCTTTCATTGAAGTCTAAATAATGGACTGAATTTTGTTCCAACTTATGACCTAATTGATTTTACCCAAGAGTACATGCAAATACAATTTAATTACTCTTTACAACAGATCATCTTTTGTACTTGCAAATTCAGAGATCTAAATTAATCCTAGAGTGCACAAGCATTAAATACAGAACTCTGTCCTTCTTATCACTGAGAGTAGAGAAGGATATGTGATCCATCTGAGCTTTATGGAGTTCCTTTGTGATGCATCATATAATGAAAGGAAAAACACTGTTACTTTTCAAATTTAAAAGCAAAAAAAAACCCCAAAAACACTTGCTATACCAATTTTAAAGACATCAGTGGAATCTACCTCTCTTTGTATGTAGAGAAGAACAAGGACTTCAGCTGTTATTCAAAAATATAGAAGGAGTAACTTATTGTGCTGAATTTATTTGATTCCTTTCCCCCCCCTCTCTTTTTTCACTTAAAAATTATCAGGAATTATTTGACTTCTTGTGAAATAAATTATTTTTCCTATAATGTTCCCTGTGGTTTGGACACCAGGAATTAAATGATAGTGTTGTTGACTACTATGGAATTCAGCACATACTGTGTTGTGTGTCCTGAAGTCTTGGCACACCCACAATTACTAATGAATTTTAAATTTTTGAACCCTTAGCATTTGAAACTTAGCCCCCTCCCTTTGCCCCCCACCCCAAATCCCAAACCTAAAGCTATTTTAAACAATTACTAAACCCAAGTATATATTTTTTTAAGATTTCAGTAAAATGTAATGTTCATAGAAAAATCTCATAAATGTCAAAATTGCTATGGGCACAATAGAGGGAATATAGTATTTTCTTGATCTGCTGTAGCAATTTATAGATTTCAGGATGTGGTTTATAAGAATGCTAAATGTTCTGGAATTACAGCTGTTACTGATCAGTGATTGAGCCAGATTTGTGTTATTGCACCATGTTCTTGCTTGTACCTAGAGAGCAGTAAAGCCTCAATATAATAAAAAGCACCTGCATTTTAAATGAAATTTCAATTGAAAAACTTAACAGCCCTTCAAATTGCAGAATTTAACGCAGCCCAGTAAAGCTTAAATAACACTTTGCCTCCACAGGCTGAGGGTTTTGCATTCAAGGTGACTTGATTGTGTCGCATGGTGAAATTATTTACAATTAAGGAATTTCTCTGGAGGGCTGCAGAGTATTTGCTGTTCCACAACACCTATGCAGGCATATGGTCGGTCTTTTTCAGTATTCATGGAAGCTCCTGAACCTTTATGATAATTGAATCAGTTAGAGTGCTGAGTGGAGCAAGCATAAAACCTGTTAACCTAAAGGTCAGATCTGTGCATTGTTTATTTATCAGTAGGTGAAAGAGCTAAATCGGCAGCTTCTGTCACAGTCGAAGTAAAAAATCACCTATAATATTAACAGGGAGTAGATAAATTGCAAAAAATGGATTAGAATTATAAACAGAATGAAGTAAAATATTGAATATATAATGAGAGATGCAGTAGGGGCTTACTGAGCTGTAAAATACACAGCTTTGTTATGCCTGTGCTGTTGGTTGCAATTAGTATCTAGCGCTCTAGAAAAACATCAACAAAAGCTAGAACGGCAAGTATATCTTGATACCAAGCTGTACTTTTTCTCCACATGCTAACAGCATTGATAGGGCACTTTTGAGACACAGGACGAAAAGGGATATAGAGGAGGAGGGAGGAAGGTTGGGGGGAGGGAGGGTGAGCAGCTTGCCTTTGAGAAGAGAGCTATATTCATCCCGTGACTATCTGGGCCTACGTTTTCCAAAGAAATAGCCTGTTTAGTAGATCTGAATTTCGTCATTTTGAGCCTCATTTGATGAGTACTTTGTGCTGATGCTGATTTTACAAATCACAGTCTATTAGTAATTTTTCTTTCCTTTTTTTTCCCCCTTTTTTTCTGTTACAGAACCCGGACCTTTAGATCCACCACTTCTGCTGAATGTTACAGCAAGGGCAGCAAGCATCATCTGGCAGCATCCTTTAAAGCCGAATGGCTTTATCACTCATTATAATATTTACCAAAATGGCAAACTGCATGCTACAGTGCTAGGAACTAGCTCTAACTGCACTGTAGAAGACTTGCATCCTTACACTGTCTATGTGTTTCAGGTAGAAGGATGCACTTCTAAAGGATGCTCTCTTTCACCTGCAACCCCAGAAATACAGACTCTTCCAGATGCACCTGAGGATATTCCTGCTCCAGAGCTCTATTCTGATACTCCAACTTCTGTGGTCATATCCTGGCAACCACCTGCTCGCTCAAATGGTGTGGTGGAAAATGTTACAATAGAAAGGAGGGTGAAAGGAACAGAACAAATATCAACTGTGGTGTCTCTCCCTTTCAGTCAGTCCACGAGCTACATTGACCAGAGCAGTGCTCTGAGCCCTTGGCAGAAATTTGAATACAGAGTGCTGATGAGCACTCTTGACGGAGGCACAAACAGCAGTGACTGGTCAGAAGTTACCACTAGACCATCAAGACCTGCTGGTGTTCAGCCACCCGATGCAGAAGCATTGGGACCGTATTCAGTTCAGGTAGGAATAATTCTTGTGGCCTCATGGCTTTGACATGTTTTCCTTGTAGCAACTGTGTATTTAAGAGAGACATCTACTGGCTGAGCCAACAGACTTCATTGCTGCAGGGGTAGTTGAATAATTAGTGTCTGTCCTTTGGCTCAAAAGCATTAGATTCCTTTCTGTTTTTTTTTCCTTTACGCAAGCCTCTGGCATTATATTCCAGGTCATTTTCTTCCTTACACACCTGATGTATTTTCAATATTAAACTTGAATGATTACTTTTAACTTCCTAATCAGATAAAAAAATGACCTACTACCTTCTCCAAAATTTCAAGACTTCATTAAAATGCTAAGAAGTAAGAAAGATTTTTTTTTAGTGTAATTAAATCTTCTGTGTAATTATCAGATCTTTTTTAATGGATAAGGAAGAAAAAAATTGCATTTTTGTTCTCCTGATTTACGAAAGAAGAGTCTTACAGGACTACCTAGGAAGTTTTCAATTATTCACATCGTTCTGTTGGGAATGAACTCTAGAGGACAGGATAACTACCATTGTTTTGGCTTGCATACAAACTTCATTCAAGGGAAATTAGTGTAACCAAACAAGAGGGATTTTTGTAGCTTAGAAGCCTCTTTTGTGTAAATACACACATGCTTCCATGGATTCAGTCTTGTACTAATGCCAAAAGTATTGGTACAGTAGCTTGCTCACCAGAGCACAAAACAAAGGACATTTGCATAAGATTGAAGTTCATCTGTTAGATTTATTATTTTTGGTATACAATGTATTTTCAAAAAGTAAACAGAGTGGTGTTACCAATGCAATCTGAATAGTTTGAGAGTATGAATTTCAGACTAAAGCAACACTGATTTTTTTGCTTTGTTCACGCATAATTTTAAGCTATGAAAAAAACCATTAGACAAAAAAATCCTGAGCTTTTAAAATTATGTTTTAATGTCTAAGGAATTGTGTGTTATCTCTGCGTTAGTAGCAAATGAGTTCAATATGAGTACAATGATTACTGTAAGAATTAATAACGATCGACCACTGGTAATTATGATGAATTGCCAGACTGCTTATTGAAGGTTTTGGTGATCTTCTTCCAGGACTCTGCCCTCTGTGCTTCTGTAGATATATCTTAATATACACCACAATTTATAGTAAAGCATTTTTCATGGATTTACCCAAAGCTGCAATGATGAATAAATAGAAGCTTTAGTTCAATAGCATGTTTACACACATGTCCACATTTCACTGCCTGAGCACACTGGCTCCAACTCCAAGCACAAAGAATAAGTCACTGCAACTTTTAAAGCTTCAGTTAATGTAATAAGAACATCATAATTTTATATCTTACCCCTCTTTTTATTTCTCCAAGTGCAGTCAACACTTAATCCTAATTTTAAAGCCTGTGAGTTATCAGAAGTTGTGCCATTCTTTACTGGATGTCTTTTCCTGAGATCAGAGGTGTATATTCAGTTGTATTTTTATTGTATTTTGCTCAGCTCCAAGATTAAGTAATCTACCAATACTAAAGGTCAGTTTGGTCATTTATTGCTTCTGAAATCTGAAGTCAGGCAACACTCTGTGATAATTTAGTTTCAATATAACATTTCTTTTAAAATTTGTTTTCTTTTCTTACTGAAGAGTTCAAATGCTTCTTTTCCTTCTTCTTCCCCAGTCTGTCATTATCATTCAAAACTCTTTAAAACCCTTTAGTGTCTATATTATATGAACTCCTGTATGAGTAGTGGTCCTATTTTGTGTCACTGCTGCTCTTGCAGTCTCAGGCTTGCTTTTTCCCACCTGGAGACAAATACTTTTTTGTTCTGTTAAGACTAATTTCCATCAAAGATCCTGAAGCCTGGATGATTTTATTTCCATGATTAGTTTTTACTGTTAATTTTTATTAATTTTAAATATTTAAGTTAAAATGTTCAAAATAGTTACAGGTGGCAGCATTGAATTGAAAAAAAGCGACTTATATATATGCCTTTCCAAATTGCTCTCTTCTGAGTATCTCTTCTCCTGCTGAATTCTCTCTCTCAATGTACAAAACATTAGTATTCTTTGCTCATACAGACATAAATTCTTGTATTTATCAAGTATTTTATTTTGCATAATGTTGTTCCATTTGATATTCATCACAATTGATGGAAAGTTGGGAATACTTGGTAAAGTTCCTGTGCAGAGGGTATCCCATGGCTAGGACATAATTTCTGATTTCTAAGATTCCAAGACTTCTGAAAAATCTTAACATTTCTCTTACTTGGCCAGATCAGCAAGATATTTATTTATTTATTTATTTAGCATTTATTATTCTATTTTGTTATTCTATATTATCTCTTAAAAAAATTGAAACTAGTTGCAGAAGAGTTCATTGCACTTCATCACTGAAGAGATAACAGACAAGGCTTGTTGCACCCAGTGGTTTTCTCACCTTCTGCGTGTTTGCAGATGGGAGCACCAGAGGAATTTCATCTTGCTTGTTGGTCTTCTTACAGATCTGTCAAATGGATTAGCTTGCTATTGGTGGTGTTGTTTCTTTCTCTGCACTTTTATGGCAAGTTCATGTCATGAGTAGTAAGACCATCCAGTGGGCTGTGCCATGTCTCTGGGGCTGTCTTGTGTGTATGCTGTGTCCTGGGACAATATAAGAAGAACAAGGTAGCACCTGTTTGCAAAACATTTGTGTTTTTTTGCCCTGCTCTCTTAAACTAGGCTTATAGATCTGAATAGCTGCTCTGCAAACCCACTGTGTCCCTTCGCCCCGGAAATACGCTAGTTGCACAGGCAGAACAACTGTGCAGTACTGGGCGAGGTTTCCTGTGTGGAAATAGGATGGATTTGGTTTGGAACTGCTTTACATTGATGCCTTTAAGCTCTAGTGAGAATCCTAGAAAGGCATACTTTCCCTGCTGAGTAGACCAAGCCCACTACACCTGCAGTGCATATATCATCTATGCAGTGCTCAAATCAAATTTGTGGAATCCTTTGTGCTGTACAGTGCTCTTATCTTACTCGGTGTCAACGATAGTAACTCTTAAGCAGAGGGTGGAAAACAAGCCGTCTCTTTTGGAAGGAGATTTTAATTACCTCTTCCCCTAGAAAGAGCTGTCCTCCCAGGTTAGAGCGGGAGGTATCAGAAGGGCACTGTGGGAAAGATTAGCAAGAGGCTCCTTTACCAAGCCACGGTCGCAAATCAATAGAGGCTTTCAGCTGTCAGTGCAACCAATCCCTAAACCATGAGCGCAAATATTTACTTCTACTGAAAACAGAGAGAATTTACAAAAAAGAGAAACATATTTCCATCCCTTTATTCAGTCATAGAATCAATATAAATGATTCGAGGATGTGAAGAATTCAAAATGCTCCAGGATAGTACTCACTTGAGTATACAGCTTATTTTCATAGACCAAAGCTTTCACTCTGCAAGGAGGAAAATATCAGCACAGCAGGTCACTCTCATCATAAACACATCTGATGTGTATGTGCTCCTTTAACATTTAATTTTAATCAGAATGGACCAATATCTCTCCATAACATTTAACTTGCTTTCTTTTGTGCAACAGAAAGTGTAAAGCTGTCAATAATTTTTAAAGTACCCATTTTGGTGACACCTGCATGATATTTTTTAATATTTGCTGAATTGATAATGTTCATGGTAGCGGAGTATAATGCGCAATAAACTGCTTTTGTGGTTGATTAAATGCCAAAGTGAAGTGGAGGTATTCAGCAACTGCAAAAGCCATTTATTTAGTATATGCCAATGCCATGAACATTATTCCTGTTACACAAGATTTGCTATACTCTAATGTACAGAAGTAGAAAAGAAATTGTTTCCTTTTCTTGTGAGGGTTGCAATTGCTGTGCTGCTTCAATCTCACACTTCACACTGATATGACATTCAAGAATGTACCTAGGTTGAGTGGCTTGAGAAAGAGGCTGGTTTACACAGTGAATAATTATGTAATGGAGTTCTTTGTGTAGGAAAAGCTTTATGTGGCTGGGTACACTGAACTGAATTAACTGTAGTGTGCTAATTGTCCAACTTTGGTCTTATAATTTTGATAGGAGCAATTCCCTTTCACTGCTGGGGTTCTTTCTTGAGGACTTTGTCCTGGGAAGGCAGGTGTAGTCTTGATTATTGGCTTAAGCAGAGATGTGCCGATTCACGTTGGCCTATTTTGTTCTCCCTCGCTGACCAGTGCCACCAGCTGGACCCTGATAGAAAAAAAGCTGCAGCCATTTCCTGTCATTCTTCATGTAAATTTTTTCTCAAGATAGAAGTTGGTATAAGCTGTATGTACTCCTGATGTTTCTCTCAAGGGGAATGGATTTTTTTCCTTTTTGATGCTTAAAGAGATTATAAGAGAATGGATTCGTCCTGGTTGGATGGAATAAGTCCTTCATTGACATATAGTTCTTGTGCTATGATATTCTTTCACAATAACATCATTTACAGAAGCTTCCTGTAATTTGATTAGATACAAAATGAGAAAAATAAAAAAATATGATTGTTTCATTGACTTCTCTCTTAGTATATATTATATATGTTGCCTGCGAAAAATAAAGGACCCTGGTGATTCTGTAGCACTAAACTGTCATTCATCTTTCTAATTCCTTTTTTTTTTTTTGCATATTGATTCAATATCATGTCATTGATTTTTCTTGGATTATTTATTTTCCCTAAGTATTTCCTCATGTCTTCTCCGACTGAGGAAGAGTTACAGGCTTTTTAATTCCATTGTCATTCACGTTTGTTGTTACAAAGAGATGACAATCTCTTACTTTACAGTTCACCTGCCATTCTTTTCTTTGTGTAGAAGAAACTGAAGCAAAGAAGGCTGATATTCCACCCTGCAGATTGAACAATGTCATTAATTTGCTGTCCACAGGATCTTCAAGAGTTGCCAACTGTACTCTTTCAGTGCAATAGATTATCATTTATTGCTACAGAGCAATAAACTTTTCTAGTAGCTATGTCTCAAATTTGACTACTAAACTGGATATGCAA